TAACAGGGCTGGTTGCAGGTTCTCATTTCAGTAATGCCACTGCAATCACTGGTTTCCTTGGAAATGAAGTCAAGGATAACAAAATAAAATTAAACTCCACCTAAGGGCAGCTTAGGAAGGAGGTGAAAACTGTTCCTCTAGGGCAGAGGTCTCCAACTTTGACAACTTTATATCTTGTGGACTTCAACTCCTACAATTACTCAGCCAATCGGCTGAGCAATTCTGGGAGTTGAAGTCAGTGGTGGGATTCAAATTTTTTTATTACTGGTTCTGTGGGCATGGCTTGGTGGGTGTGGCAGGTGAAGGATACTGCAAAATCTCCAGCCAGAGATGGTGCTTGCCGGTTCTCCGAACTACTCAAAATTTCTGCTACCGGTTCTCCAGAACTGGTCAGAACCTGCTGAATACCACCTCTGGTTGAACTCCATAAGTCATAAAGTTGCCAAGGCTGGATGGAGATCCCTGTTCTATGGGAAGGAAAGCTGCTACATTCCCAGAAAGCTTTACAGGCAAAAGAGTCTGGGAGGACTTCTCTGAAAGAGAGGATTGAAACAGGTCTGGGATCTCAGTTCTGAAGAATCTTATTCTCTGAACAGACCCAGCTCTACCACAGACCTTCTCTGACCTCAAGCCACCAGCCACTAGGCCTCTGTCTGCATGTGTGTTAAAGGCACACTTTGGGAACCTGAGCATAACAGATACTCCTAAACTAAATAAATTGTGCCTTATACCAGTGGTCCCCAACCTTTTTTGTACCAGGGACCGGTTTCAAGCAGAAAATTTTTGCAAGGACCGGGGGGGGGGAGAGAGAAGAGAAGGAGGCTTCGCTCTCTCGCTGCTCCACCATCCAAGGAAGAAACTGCTTCAAAGGAGCGGGGGGGGGGCTTTTCCTGTCGCCGCAGCTATTCCGAAGCGCCCGTTTCACCCCCACTCCCACCCCGCCCGCGCGCACGCGCGCGCTTCAATCCACAGTGTCCCATTCTGCCTGCCTGCCTGCCTGCCTTAGTTTCTGGTTGTTTGGGAGCAGCTTCGGCTGAGAATAATAACTATTCGCCTCTTTTACTCAGCCGAAGCTGTTCCGATTCAACCATTAACGAAGGCAGGCAGAACAGAGCACTGCGGGCGGGCGGGCGGGCGGACGGGGTGGGGGTGGGGGAGAAACGGGCGCTTCAGGGAAGCTGCGGCGACAGGAAAAGCCCCCCCCCCCCGCTTCTTTGAAGCAGTTTCTTCCTGTGCTGGTGGAGGAGCGAGAGAGCGACTGAGAGAGCTGACCCAGAGAGAAGGACAGGCTTCGGTTGCTTCCTCCCTCCCCTTCTTTCATTTGTGTCCTTGATCCCCGATCCCAGCAGCATTCACCGAAGGTGAAGAAAGCCGCCATTTTTTTAAAAAAAAAATTCTTTGCGGCCCGGTAGAGAGTGCTCCACGGCCCGGTACCGGTCCGCGGCCCGGTGGTTGAGGACCCCTGCCTTATACTGTTACTTCCTATTGATTTCAAAGAAAAGAAAAAATTGAAAGGAAAATAATTGATTAAAAAATAATTATATTTTGGTCATTAGACATATCTCTAGTTGGCTGTAAATTCTCACTTCCCTTCCCTATATTTATTTGTTATTGTTTCAGACTGCCTATGTAGTTCTCCAGATCATTTATAAGCCAAATCAAAAGAAAGAAAATTTTTAAATATTTTTTTAATCAAGTTCACATTTAGTCCAGTGGATCTTAGGTATAATTCACTCAATTTAGATTCACCCCAAACTTTATTTTTTTAAGGCAACTGGGGCTGATTTTTTAAAAAATTATAATAAGGTGGCCTGATGACAAGAATACTAGATGGTGTGATTATGAAACACAGTTTCCTTTCTTCTCTGGTAGTGTTTTCCAAGCATTAATATACTAGACTATACATATATAGCAACAGCAATAGAAGCAACAGTCAAAATGAAATAATGCCAATTAAATTCACTTCAGGATGAGCACCTCTTTATTAAAATTTTTAGGCCAAAATCTACCATGCTAATCCAGTTGGTGTAGTGGTAAGGTGTTGGCCTAGAAGATGATGAGTTCTAGTCTCACTTTAGCCATTAAAGCCATCTAGATGATCTTGGGCCTGCCTTTCCCAACCCAACTCACCTCATAGGGTTCTTGTTATGGGGAAAATAGAAGGAAGCAGCATTATTTACGTTTGCCACTTGAGTTATTTATAAAAAATAATAAAGGTGGGATAAAAATCTAACAAATATCTAAAAAAATAGGTTGACAGATATTTTTTAGGGCTGAAAGAGTATGACTGGCCCAAAGACAACCATCCAACTTCTTTGTCCAATGGAGGATTAGACTCCCTGCTACTGGTGCAGCATCTTTTTTTTTAATTCCAAGTTTTTTATTTTATTTTACATATACACATCAATGCGTGAACAGTGTGAAACCTGGGTATCATACATTTTAGTGCAAATAAGAATAATAACATTGATCATATTTGTTACATTCATCAAGCTTATGTATTTCCAATGTTAATACATACATTTGTATGAAGTTATAATCTTTCATTATTTAATTATTCAATGTTTCAATATGTTATTCTAATGCCAATCACAATATTAAACTGGCCCAGCATCTTAATCACTCTCCTAACATATATATACATAGACATATATGTGTGTCTGTGTGCAAATTTTAATCCAGAAAAATTATATCCAGTTTTAAGTAGTTTTGGAAGCTATGGTCTGGGAACTATTGATTATTCAGAAAATATAGGTAAACAAATACAACTATGTCATGGTTGTTCTAAAATAGAGTGATATTGTCCCCTTGTCTCCAAACGACTGCCACATAGTAGGATAGAAATGTTGAGAATTGTCCTAGAAGGAACAGAAAGCACTGGAAACAATCAAGTTTAATTTATAAGGCATAGATTATATCAGGGGTGTCAAAATTCATATCGTCACAGTGGTGTCACATAACATATCGGGACTTTTTTCCCCTTTGCTAAACCAGGTGTGGGCATGGCCAAGGCGAGATGCATCCAGCCCACGGGCCGCGAGTTTGACAAAGCTGGATTATATGGTGACTGACTGAAAAACCCGCTGACAGACTGTCCTAAAGGTGTTTTTTCACCTTAGACTTTCTGCTTTTCTTTGAAGACATTTCGCTTCTCATCCAAGAAGTTTCTTCATCTCTGACTGGATGGTGGGGAATGGAAGGATTTACACTCCTTGCAAACAGTTGGTCATTTGCATTCTTTTAGTGGGTTGTTAAGGTCACCTGGAGGTTTCACTGGGTTGTCAGGGTCACCTGAGTGTTGCAAATTGGTATGGAGCCTTCTTGGAACTGTTGAAAGGACTGTGTTGTACATTAGAGATAAATGATGTCGTATTCCTCGCCTTCTGTTGAGAGAGGACTGTTCAATTTTGACATAGATGGCCTCTTTAACCCCTCTTTCAAACCAGTGATCTACTCTGTCCAAAATGTGGATTTTGCTGTCTTCAAAAGAGTGGCCTGTGTCTTTTAAATGCATATGAACTGCTGAATCTAGTCCTGATGTATTTGTTCTCCTAGGTCGTGCATTTATGAAGAGCATCTGAAGGATGGTAGAACTACTAAGGAAACCAATCTCTAAGGCAAGACTGTCAAGCTCCTGGCCCAAGGGCCGGATGTGTCACATACCAGCCCAGTTTAGCGAAGGAGGGGGGAAGTCCCAATATGTCATGTGATGCAGCTGTGAGGTAAATTTGATAACTGTGGTCTAAGGAGCTGACACAAAGAAGAGGGAATCAACCTATTTTCCAAAGCACCTGAAGGCAGAACAAGACACAATGGATTGAAACTAAAGAACTAGGGAGAAATTCCCTGACGGAGAGAACAATTAATCAGGGGAACAATTTGCCTCCAGAAGTTAGGGATGCTCCAACAGAAGATACTTTTAAAAAGAGATTGGACAACCATCTGTCTGAAATGGTATAGGGTTTCATGCTTGAGCAGGGATTGGACTCTGTTATTTTGTTCTGTTCTGAAACTAGAGTGCATCTCTGGTTTCATCAAACAGCTTCTCCGATTCCACTTTGCCACTTATTTTTCTTAAATTGTTCTAGACAACAACAAATTTTCATAATGAAATAATGAATGGAAGCCTAGATACATGAATTAGTCCAATTTCTTTTTAAAAAATCTTTCTTGCAACTCTTCTCTGTACCACCGCACTTCTTTTTCCCAGTTTCTCTATCCCAAAGTAGGGTACATATTTTCAAAATTACTTTGACAGGGACCATACATCCTTTATTATAAAGGACAGTCCTTTATTTCATAGAGCTGTCTTTTAAGTTTATTTATTTATTTTCTTGCTTTTGCTCTAGAATTTTCCTTTGTAAAGCTAAGTTTTCAATGCACATGCACACAACCCACTCACACTTCTGAATCTGTTTCTAATTTGTCCATTTTTCAGGTTTGTCCTTTATTGTTTTCTAAGAAAATATTGTCATTGTATTTTTGGGCACAGCTCCAGCTTCTTTAATTCTGAAACATTTCTGCTATCAGTTGTTTCTCACAAAAAATCTGCAATAAGACTTTGGAGAGTTATTGATATTAAAGAAATCTAATTTCCTTCTATTTGATGTGGATTTTTATGCTATTAAAGCTTGTTATAAAATAAAAATACAAAAGTTAGAAAGCTAAGGGAAATAAGAGAAAGATAAAAAAGTAACTTCCAACTTTTTATAGAGCAGTAAACTACAAAAAAAAATATGATCTCAACTTTTTGGTTTACATTTCTAAACATTTGAAGCTGTTTCTAGAACATTCTAATCATCAAAACCTAAAGGCAAAGTTTTTTTTCCAATTGCAAGCAAAGATGTCTAATTTATTTTCATAAGAAATCCATTCCTACTCCCACTCCATTCAAAGCTAAAAAAAAATTTTTAAGTGGGTGAAAGAGTCGCTGTCGCTTTAAGGAAGAACTGGAACAGATCCCAACTGGAAACCGTATGTGAACGGTCGCTTACGAAACGCCATTAAAGGAACAGGAAGTATTTGAAGCAAACCACCGAGGGAGTCAAGCTGGAAGAGTTTTTGTTCTTAAACTGGTGAAGATGCTGATTCTCGTCCTCCAACAATGCGTGAAAATCCTCATCCTGCCAATCTATGTGCTTGCCTATTTTGGCTTATGGGATCCTATTTGTAAAAAAACCTTCCCATTTTTCATGAAGAAGCTGAGCAAAGGCTACAATGTAAAACTGCACAAAGAAAAGGAGACGCTGTTCAAGAACATGCAGGACTTCGCCGACCCCTCGGGAAAGCTCCACCTGCTAGAGATTGGCGTGGGCACTGGCACCAACTTTCAGTTTTATCCCCCCAACACTCGCGTGACCTGCGTGGACTACAACCCCAACTTCCAAAATTTCCTCCTGGAGAGCATGGCTCAGAACACGCACCTCCACTTCGATAATTTTGTGGTCGCCTCCGCCGAGAACTTGTCTTCTGTGCCGGACAACTCTGTGGACGCGGTGGTTTGCACGCTGGTGCTTTGCTCTATGAACAGCCCCCAGGCTGCCTTGAAGGAGGTTCTGCGAGTGCTCAAACCGGTAAGTCAAAAGGCAGAGAGGGAGAGTTAAGTCTCCTTAAGTCTGGTCTCTCCAGACCACCAAATAATGGGCACCAGGCAGGATGTGCATGCACATTATGGCTTTAGATCCCACAATAACAGAACCTCTCTGTTGCTCTTTATGCTGCTCATTTTCAGGCTTAACCTAAACAGGATTCCCTCTTTTCAAGCAGCCATACCTTTTCTGCCTGCCTTGTGTTTCTGAATCAATTTCAGACTGTATACAACAACTTTAATGTTAGTAAATGATAGCAAGCTACTGGCCTGAGATAGGAGCCTGGTTGGTACTTCAGTTGATACATCTTCAGAAACGACAAGGTTGAAGCTAGATTGAAAAGTTAAAACAACATCTCTCTGCAACGACAAATCACTTTTGAATGGTTTCCAAAAATGCTCTCCCCATCCCTGCATGAAACCATCAGGGATCAAGTTTGATTTGGAGGAGACTGGAGTAGGAACCAGAGTAGATCAAGCTGACACTGTAGCAGGAGGACCAAGAAAACATGGGGTGGGTGGAAGCATGATGCTGTCACAGCACAAGCTGTGCCCATCTGGTTATGTCTGCTGTGGCAGAACACTACTTTGGGAAGGTTTTTTTGGCTAGTCTCTGATTCTGCAGCAAAGTCTGTACAGTATGATATCTTAAGTAAATAGACGAAAGACTGCCCTTCACCTTTAAACAGAAGTTTAAAATGCTGCCCTAAATCTGCAATTTCCTTGCAGAATTTCAAAACTCTGTTGATCTAGTGTTAAGAAGCACAAACAGAGGCTGGGGATAATATGCAGTCCAGTGGCTTTGGAATGCTGTATGTATATTGATATATTATGCAGTCTGAGAAATTAAGTATCCAGACCTTACATGTTTGCTTGTACAGAGAAAATTAGTCATTTCCGTGGTTGGAATAGTTATTTTGTGCTGCACTCTGTAATCAAATAAATCATCCAGCAAAGCCAGCATTATCTTCCAAACAGGAATTGTGGGGTTGTTCCTAGCACCTGGAATGTGAGTAAAATGCAGATACTATTCTTAACAGGGTATTTGTCCAACTAGCTAGCTTTTCTCCAAAGAAATAGTGTTTATTGAGCTTTATTGTGTTTATGGACATCCTCAGCCTCATTTTAATATACCCTGCCTATCAGGATCATCTGAAGAAGGTATAAAATGGCTCATGATCATTGGTCATGGCTCATAAAATGTCTCATGATCTGCTCAAAGAACGAAGAGGCTAGGGCAAACAGTCAAGTGTCACCCAAAAACATGCCAAGGAACTGAAAATCAAAAAGCATAGAAAAGTAATGGCTAATCAAGCATAGCAACAATCCTGGCAACATGAAGTTCAAGAATGAGTCACAAGGCTCACAATGTTTCAATGTCCTAGGTTTTGGTTTTGGTTTTTCAGGAAATGATTCGATGCCAGAAGTTCCAATTTTCATATAAACCAGGTATATTCAGGCAGTGGTGGAATTCAAATAATTTAACAACTGGTTCTCTGCCCTAATGACCGGCTGGGTAGGGGTGACTGGGTGGGCATCGCTAACTGATATCCTTCACATTGAGGGGCCTTGCCCAGCCTCTTCTCGTCCCTCCCCTCCCAGCCACTCCTCGCCTGGCAGTTTGCTTGCCAGATACTTACTCTTAGGCTCATGTAAATCAAAATTAGCACCTGCTGCAATGATAAATCTGTATTTTAATCCAGGCAAAACAAAACAGAAGAAGTATAAGAATAATTTAGTATCTTGTTCCTAAAATAGCAGTAAGTTTATGGAGGAAGAGAATAGAATGCAATTGAATGGAAGACAGGAACTCCGAGAGAGCTCATCAAGGACGAAGGAGAGACTGGTTTAGCAAATGTAAACTTTTTGAGAACTCCTTTATGTTAATTTTTAAGGTTGGGCTAGTAATATAGAGGGTTAGTTAAGGTGAAATCTGAAAGTTGTTTTAAGCTTTTTAAATAAAGACTATACATGGCAGGCAATTCTATATAATTGCTGGGTTTAGTTTCTGACAGACTATAGAACTAACATGCACTCATTTCTACTTAATTTGAAAATAATCCTGCATCTACATGCAGAGTCAGTAGAGACAGCAGAGGCCACAGACTTCTGTTTATATTGTACATTCATTCTATTTTCAATTTTTTTATCCTGCTTTATTATTCTTACAAATAATACAAGACAGTCAATATGTCATCCTCCTCCTGTTTTCCCTACAACAACTCTTTGAGTTGGGCTATGCTGAGAAAGAGTCACCCACTAGCTATGTATCTAAGGCGAGAATAGAACTGATCTCCTGGCTTCTAACCTGATGCCTTAACTACTAGACTGTTGTCCCCAATGTGGGTCTGAATGTGGTGCTGACGAGGCCAATGAGGGACACCAGGCAGGAGGTGCAGGTTTCGATTGCTTTTTATTGGAGTACCCCAAGATACTCCAAAATGCCTCTTGCCAAGATACTCCAAAATGCCAAGAGCCAAAAACAAAGGAATTAGAAAGTTTTATACATTTTCACTGAAGGAGAAGGCAGGACAAGGTGGGATAATAAGAAATATCATTTAATAAATATTTTAGTAATAATTCTACGATTTGTTCTATTGGTCTCTAGCTGTCCCTATTCCTAAGCCTTGGCTAATGAATGCTCCAAGAGTTATCTAATACAGGGGTCTCCAACGTTGGCAACTTTAAGCCTGGTGGACTTCAACTCCCAGAATTCTGATCTAATACACATTCTATTTGCTCCAGGCCATCTCTATTCCTAACTTCTAGCTGAGATTTGCAAGATGCCTAACTCTTTGTTATTTTTGTCAGCTTTCTAACTACCCAGAATTGTTACAAGCTCTGCAGGTGCATATTTCCTGTGAATAAGCATTCTTTGTTCTTGCCAGACAGACTCCACAATTACAGGCTTCCTGATTTACGTTCAAGTGCGTGCCATGACCTTGCTTTATTTTAGGACACACCCCATCAAGACCATACTGGCTTTATAAACTTTGTTTTATAGTTTTCCTTTTTATCATTATATCTCGGAATAACCAACCACTGAAAAAACAAAAATACACAAGAGAAACAGAAAAAGTAGGTGATAGTATGATAGAAAATCCTTCTGCGCACACTACACATGTATTTTGCTTTTTAAATTGTAGTGGCCTTTCTGGCAGAGATGTGTATTTGATTTGCATCCAAATTTCAGTCCTGGGTAGTTTTCTGCCATCTTCAAATAGAATAATAGGGTAGTTTCTTTTCTTTATGTGACACTTAAGTAGTTGTCCCCAGCCCAGTCACTTCATCACTGATGCTGCTTCAAAGTGTTGATTAACTTAAAGGGAAAGTGCTTTTATTTGAGTGAGGCAGGACACTTCCACCTCTCTCTTTTTGAAGTAATATACTGGATTTAGCATGAGAGATGAGATTAACGCTCTGGTCCTGTTAAAATAGCACCCAGTATCTTCATTTTCAACAACAAAGAATCAATTTGTAAAGCAGTCTGAAAACCCATTCAGGTCAAAGGATTCGGAGAGGGGCGATTTTGTTATGCAAATAAGCACTACAAAACAAACTTAAATCCCTAGCAACCTTGAATATGTATGTTTTAAATACTGCTACTGAAGATGAAGAAAATAATACCTGCGTAATAACTTCCGGTAAGTATGAAGATATTCCTAATTAGACTCTCTAAGCCTAAAAATTTCTCGTAGAGGTGATATCTATGGAGATTCTCAGTCATCCAGGTCATGGTTGTCCCAAAGGTGCTTTTTCAAGAGGCAATTGGGATTTCTGGTTTTTCGTTGAAAACATTTCACCTCTCATCCAAGAAGCAAAAGATCTTCAAAGAAAAACCAGGAAGTCCAGTTGCCTCTTTAAAAAGTGCCTTTGGGACATAGAGGTGATACTGTTCTCCAAACCAAAATGCAGATGAACACAGATCCTGTCCAGGTCAGGAAAAAACAGCTCCAAATTTAAGGATACTTAGCATTTTCTCAGACATTTGTTTGTGCACAAGTGTGGAGAATTTGCATTCCCATCACCTGTAACACATTGTGAAATACAGATATTGGTCCCATTTTATAGATAAAGAAATTGAAACTGGGAGAGGACCATCATGTGTGACATTTAAAACTAAATCAGGATGTAGTATTTATTTGAATATTTCCACTGAAGACACAGTATTTCAAATAATCGTATTTACCCCCACACACATAGATTCCTTCTCAACATTTTATGGATTATTACCTGTGACCTAAGCTAGCATCTCCTGAATTTATCAATCTCAGTGTAGACATATTTAAATCACATTCTAAATACACATGACTGGGAATTAAAAAAAAAACACCTGAGCTTTCGTGGGTAAGGTTTTATCTGATTCTGTGCAGATAACTTATTTCTAAATAACACTGCTTAGAAACTGCTTAGAAACTATTTGATTTGCAGACGCAGGCCATCTTAGTTACAAAAGCATATGGTGCTCAGGGGACTTGCTTGTCTCCAGAAAGCAAATGCTACAGGAGGAGGAGACCAACCCACAACAGCCGACCTCTCTTTTCAAGAAAAGCAAACGCCGGGCGAGTGGGACAATCTGGCTTAAAGAGTTTTGAGAAGTTGAAGAAAAGACCCTTTTCCACAAGGGCCATTAGGTGGCACTGGGAAATGGGCAGCCAGAGAGAGTGCCTCTCTCGGGTACTTGCACTGCCCAAATCGAGAGCGGACTCAGAAGCTTCCATGGCTTCAGTTGGGAAAGAATAATTGTCTCACAGCAGTTTGGCAGTCCATGCAGACCGCAAATGTTATTAGAAACGCTTAGCCAGAGTGCTTCTTAGTACCTGCTTTCAAAGCGGGACCGTGGCTGCTTCTCCACTGCTGGGCTTTCCTCCTGCATTACCACTAAGAACACTGACCCTGCCGCCTTGCCGCACAAAGGGAAGAAACTTTTGGGCAGCCATACCATATTCCTTTCCTTCGGAGCTGGGGTTTCATCTGTTCCTTGGAAAATGTGATTCGCTGGTTGTAGCATGCATTTCTCTGCACATAATGTGTTTATTAGGTATTGCATCCTCTGAAGCCCAATTCTCAGCTCGGCAGCACCTTTCTGCATTTCCTTCATTTTGCTGAGAAAGGGAACAAGCATGGAATTTGTGTGCCTGAGCCAAAGTTGTCCATGGGATCTTGACACCGGTCATTTTTTCGGGTGGGGGGACCCTCAGGGGAGGAGAAGTGGAGTCAGACAAGAGAGGCCAGGAGGCAGGGCCAGGCCAAGACAATTCAGCCGGTTTGCCGAACTGCACATAAAATTAACAACCGGATCTAGTGAACCAGTGCGAACTGGCTGAATCCCACCACTGGATTCAGGCATATTGCTATATGAGAGCAATAGTTCCTAAGCAAGCTGTAATTCTCATTATGCCACCCTTGAAATTTGGCACTTCTGCTCTCCTATTTTTGGGTCAGTCGGCTTTGTATGTGCAGAATTGTGTCCTGACCAGTGTGATCTGAAGTCTTTGGTGACATCTGGCTATTTAGAATTAAAAAAGATCAGCTACATAATTGCAAGATACTATAGACAGGGATTTATGGCCTTTGTACCATATGACGAGATTCAGTGGTTTCCCATAACATCTTTCTCAGGTGAGATGGATGAGAGAGGAGCTAGAAAGAGAATTCTCCATGTGATATGGTATCTAATGCTATACATAAAGTTAAGACACAATTTTCTATTACCTTTTATTTCCACAGAAAGGGAGGTGAATGAGTCTTCCCTGCCCAACTAATAGTAATATTTAGCAACTCAGGTTTGAGACCAACAACATTCAGTACTTTTTTGTTGTTACAAAATGGATAAAAATCCCAATACATTGCTGAAGTCTTGTTCCCAACATTTGTTATTTATACTTCCAATTGTCACTTTTGGGGAACAAATGCAAAGTAATGTGAACAGAATGGAAAGGGATGAGCTACTCCATAGTTTTGGATATATTTTTTTCTTTCATTTATTAGCTCTAAATGTGCTTTTGCTTACAGTTTATTAAATTTACATGCTATCCATCTCATGGTTCAAGGTGACTCTGAGCAGCTTTAAGCTTTATTTGAAACTTTAGTTAACAATACAGCAATTTGTTTATTTATAGGACTTAATGCCACCCACCTTGAAATTTAAAGTGACTTCTGGCTGGTTTTAAAATTTATTTAAAATTAATATAGAAATTTATTTATAAAATTTATAAGCTGCCCATTTCAAAATTCAAGATGACTCTGGGCGGCTTTAAACTTTATTTAAAATTTTAATTAACCATAATACAGATGTCAACATTCCAAGTAATAAATCCATTGCAAGCAAGAACTCTGTGGCAGGTGAATTCCTCAAATAACTGCTTTATTGGAAATATATTGGCACATATCTGGTGAAAACCAACTTTGAAGGGCCCCTTGGTTTTCACCTAATTAAAAGTAAAAGTTTTTTCCCTCAGCCCCAAACAATCAGTCACATGGCCCAACCACTACAGGGTCCGCTGGTCTGGTGACATCACTGCTCCTTCCTCTGGCCAGGTGTGAGAATGTCCTTGGTTCCCAGGAGAAAGTATTTCATGTATCTTGATGTATTGAGTTCTAGTCCCAGCTTAGCCATGAAAGCAGTTGGGTGGCGTTGAGTCAGTTACTCTCCTGGGCAATTTACCTCACAGAGTTGTGGAGAACATAGGAGGAGAAAATTGTGTTGGATATGTATTCCGCCTTGAGTTATTTGTTAAAATAATGAAAGATATAAATAAAAAATAAAATGATAAATTATTCAAATTTTGAGTTTGATATGCAAAAATATATTGAACTGGTTCTTCTGCTACTTCGTCACGATCCTTAAATAAAAAGGCCAATTCTGTAGTTTTCCTAGAACTTGAATCTCCTGTAAATCATTAATGGCTAAATTGCATTCCAGCTTCATTTTGTCTCTATATTAATTATTGCTTCATGTCCCCTTCTTCTTGTGCCATATGTGTCATTGGATGTTGGCTTGAAAAAAGTATTCATCACAGATTGTCTATGTTCCTTGCTGAAGTCTACAAATCTGTCATCTCTACCATTTCTGATTCCTAAGCCAAAGTTTCCAATTACAAGGAGCATCACTTCCTTCTCCCGCTTTGGCATTGAAGTCCCTAATGAGTATTGTGATATTATTACTTTTTAGGGTTTTCACTGCTTATATCTTCATAGAACTTCTCTAAATCTGCCTTATCACTGTCAGCCACGGGAATATAAACTTGTATAACATTTGTATTTACTGGAGTACTATTTATTTGGATCATCATCACTCTATCGGATACAGGAATAAAGGACTAGATGCATTTATTTACAAGATTGTTTACAATTATAGCTACTCCATTTCGATGGTATTTACTATTTTCACCAGAGTAGTAGATAGTATAATCTCCTATTCTACACATTCCATTTTCAGGCTAGTTCATTTCACTCACTCTCAATACAGAGATATTGTATTTGGACATTTCTTTGATAGTGTTGTGTGTTTTCCCAGATTCATATAGACTTCTCAAGATTCCATGGTCCAACTCATAGTTTTGGTTTTATCATGCTTCTAGTGGACCGGGAAATTCTTAACACCCCTGTCCCATTTAAGGGGCACCCGGACTCGGAGCCATTGTTAGGTTTTTGCCACCATTAACATGATTTTCCTGGGAAATATATGGTGTAGTAGTCTTTGCTTTCTACACCACTGTACACACGCTGTTTAAGCGTCTGCCACCACAGTGTGTGCTGTTCTTCTGAAGCCATTCTGACCAATGTCGTCTCCGCCTTCAGATAATAAGCCAGCTGCCACTCACCAGGACTGTTGGTCCATGGGAAGTATTTGATTCCCTCCAACCCACCATTACAGCATGAAAGCCATACTGGGTTGGGGGGGCCCAATCTGCCACCTAGGAATGTGTTTTGTGGGGGTTCCAGGCTCCCCCTAAGAGTTCATGTCCCCAGGAAGTTACATAACTTGATTACAGTGTGAATTTTTATGTAAGTTCAAAGCATTCTGCTTTATATTATTATTATTATTATTATTATTATTATTATTATTATTATTATTA